GCTTCAAGAGTGGTTATCGGCTGGTGGGTAACAGTGACTTTTGCTCCAGAAAAAAATCATTTTAATGTAAGGTTAAAGAAAAGATAAATCTTTTAATCATAGCAAATGTTCTGGTTTTATCTGACAGTGACACGCTGATGAGGCCAAAAAGGACTCCCACCCAGAATTTTGTTAAGTGGAAAATTTGGACCATTTTTCCATACTCTTTCAGAGCAGTAAAGCACACGCCACAGCCCGGAGCTGCTGGCGATGTGGGATGCGGGGCCTGAGCAGGGACCCATCCTCACCTTCCCCTGCATGGCTCTGCCCCAACGGGATGCAGCCCCTCACTCACCTAAAGCTTGGGTGCTGCACAGCACCACAGTGTTTCTGTTTGCTTGGGTAAGCTCTCTTTGATTGATCGACTAAAATTCACCATCACAGAGCCAGTGCCTCCCTATGGTCATGACATCTGTGGCATGAGTTCCTCCCGGCCTCAGCCAGGCACCCAGGCATGGTGTAGGTGCAACCCCAGAGAGAGGCTGCCTGCTGAGAGGCAAAGCATGGCAAAGACTGGGACCAGCCCAGCTCCAAGGGGTCCTGTAGCCAAAGCCCTGACTCGGTGGCTCCCCACAGCTGCTCGGGGGGAGAATGAGCTGCAGCCAGCAGCTGCAATGGAGTCGCTCCTAACACTGCATAGCAGCGCTTGGGGTGGAGAGGGTAACTGCAGCCCTCCTGGACGTTTCCCTCCTGACTTCCAGCTGGGATGTGACAGCCCACCCTCGGCAGGGTCACCTGTGGCATAGCTCATCACCCAGCTCTGTACGGCCAGGCTAGAGCCAGCACAAGGGGAAAGCCGTCCAACACACACAGGGTGGCTACGGGGGCCTCAGCGCCAACTCTTTTGCAGTTTGTGTAGTGGGTCTTCCTCACACCAACATGGGTCTTCGCTACCGCATGCCAGTGCCTGCGCCATTACACCCACTCTGGCACAGGCGTGCAGAGGGTGTGCAGCTCTGCTCTGCCTCCACCTCCCACTCCACCCCAGCCCAGGCATCCCCTGGGCATCCTGCTCGGAGTGTGGGCTCAGGGTTCACCCTGAATATCCACCACATGCTTGTCCCCAACCTCAGCTACCTGGGTGACTTTGAAAACATGCACCCAAGTGCTTTAAAACCCACAGCTCGGAGCTGGGAACATGACTCCTTGCTCCCAACCTGGCTGTCCAAACTCCAAGGGCCCTAATGGCCTTAATTGCCCTGACTTTCCCCACCCACCCCCCTCAGCTCAGGGCTCCATTTTAAGCTCAGCCCTGGGCCTCCTTTCCCCCTCTGAGCAGTGTCTGAGTTCTGCCGGGCTCTGGCTCCTGGATGGACTTTGGACCCGCATTGTGAGCCTGTCTCCTGCTGTTCTGGGATTATGCAGCAAATGACGTCTGGGTTTCGGTGTGTGAGAGCAGTAACTGAAAGCTAGAAGTTTGCTGGAGAGCTTGGTGTTGCTTTTTACTGGTTTGTAATGGAAATTGAATGGAAAAAAAAAAAGAGTTCACCTGAAATTTTGGAGGATGAGATGATTGAATGACCTTTCTCTGGGTTTGTGTTGATTAGAGATGCCCAGATGCACCCGAGCAGGGGTGCCAGACCTGCCAGACTGGGGGGGCTGCCCCTTCCTGCTGCCCAGCACTGACATGCCCACCAGCCCCCCTTGTGTCTTCCAGAGAGGGGAAGGAAACAACAGCAGCCATGGAGGTACTTTACTCCTTCACAGCCTGCTATCATTTTTCCTTTTCCACAGAGGAGTCAGGGGAGGCTCTGTTACCAGCACGGAGGTGCCTTGCCCCAGTTTGGGGATAGCCCAGAGCCCAACTGCCTCATCTCCCAGCAGCTGGGTTGCAGTCCCCCCTGCCGCTCTGGGAGAGACTGCGGCCTCGCAGGCTGGGCAGGTCTGTTGGGCTGTGCCAGTCACCCTCGGGGCAGAGAGAGTGTCAGGGCCTTCTTCCTTTGCTAGCCAGGGTGTCACCGGGGCATCCCAAGCGCCCAGCTAGCTATGGTGTCACTGGGGCATCCCAAGCACCCGGCTAGCAGCGCCAGGGTAATCCCGAGTGCCAGGTCAGGGCCTGCTGGCTCGGCGGCTGCTTTGGAAGGCTCCTTTGAAGTGGGGGTGCAGTTCGCAGGGCGCTTTGCCAGCCGGCACAGAGGGGAACAGGTAGCAATGAGGGGTGGGCGAGAGGTGCGGGTGGTTCTCACAGCTGCCAGGCTGGGAAGGGCAGTGGGGCCATGGGACCACATGGGAAACCCCTGCAGCCTCACGCTCAGCTGCTGAGCCATTGGGAACACAGGTTTTTTTTTTCTCATTAATCTTCAGTAATGAAGTCAGCATTGGAAATCCCAGGGGAGCTCAGATCTGTGGGATCAGGCGGTCTGTGTGAATGCTGTCCAGCAGACACCGAGCACCCTTACGCGCTCTCCTTATGTGCTCTCCTTCCAGCTGTGGCCAGAGCACCGTGCCCCTGGAAAGCAGATGGTCTCTTCAGGCACAGCAGGGGCATGGATCCAGCCCTGCAGACCTCCTGCTGCCTGGAGGAGCCCAGAGCTTTGCCCCATGAGACCCCATGGAGGAATCAGGTGGGTCCCCTAAACACTTTTACCTACTTCACCTCTTTCAGTCCCAGGTGGGCAAACCCCCTGGTCCTGTGGCTCTGCTGCAGTTCAGTGACCGATGCTCTATAATCTCTTCCACAGCCCCGGTGGGGGGGTTTAATGAATGCACAGAGCAAGCTGGGGAAATCGAGGTGCAAAATGAGAGATGAAGCTTTGTGCGAGAGGGTCATAAGGAAGCTATACCGTGTGCTGGGATTGCAGTTGTGCATTTCTGCAGAGACTTATCTGAAACACTGAAAAAGAAACCGTACACCACTAAGCAGAAACAAGGGTTACACAGAAATAGCTTCTATTTTCCACAGACCTTTGTCCAGCAAGAAATGTTTGGTTTGTGCATTTCAAGGCTTTAGAGTGCTAAGGAAATATTTCCAATAAAAAACTACCCAGACCTTCCTTTTCTTCCCATGACAGCTTAATTTCTTTAAGAGCCCTTCTGGGAGAGCTTTTTGGAGATCCAAGTGCACTCCGAGGACCAGATTGTCTTGTGTACACAATGGCTGATTTCCTCCAAGAGCGCTCTAGGTTTGTGTCTTGCAACTGCCCCCTCAAAAGCCATGTGGAATCTCCCATTACACCAGATTTAGCCAGGGCCCTGTTATTTCAAGACTTTATTATCCTTTCTAACAACTTGCCTTTTATAGAAGGCAGCCTCGCTGCTTTGCAGTTTCCTGGTTCCCACTGGAACTTTTTAAAAATTAGCATCGTATTTAACAACATTGGCTTTTTGGTTGAGGGATCACTGTAATTCTCACCCAAGTGACTATTTGGCAGTTCATCTGAGCAGTCCTTCTGGCAGATTTTTTAACCATGGGTTCTAAAAATGGGGT